GCAAGTGGAGCCTGTTCTTAAGTCCCTGGAATCTGGGAGGATGCTGCCACTTTAAATATCCAAAATGGGCAAGCTGCTTGTAAATATTCAAAATGGCTGCACCCTCCAGGCAGACAAAAGTGTACAGCTCAGCCCTCCTGCCTTTTCGCTGCTTTGCCTTTTATTCCCTAGCCACCTGAGCAGTGCTCCGTGCAGTCCCTTGCTAGTAGGGCCCGTTTTTAGGTTAATTCTTAGGTCTTACCACCACTTGGCAATATCCAAGCTGTCTGTGCTGTCAGGATTGCTGCCAGACTACAGCTCTGTATGTCTCCTTTTTTGGTGTTTTCATGCAAATTCTTCTGCTAGTTGGAGTTTAGTCCACTTCTATCCTTCCCTTCAAGGCTCAGGGGTCCAGGATTATCTTCTGTATCTGTTAATTGGTTCTTTTCTTTGTTGAAGAGGGTCTGTGGAGTTTTTCTGCCTATTCTGCCATCTTACAAGAACTTCCATGTCTGATTTCTTGACTGCTGCTTCCATAGGTGTTGAATGTGGACTCAGGTAAAATGAAATCCCTGACAACTTCAGTCTTTTCTCCATTTATTGTGATGTTGCTTATTAGTCCAGTTGTGAGGATTTTCTTTATGTTGAGTTACAATCCATACTGAAGACTGTAGTCTTGTGTTCATCAATAAGTGCTTTGGAGGCTGTAAGTCTGAATTCAGAATGCAAGCTCTAGGGGAAGGCTAGGCTAGAAGACCAAGTTCAGAATGCCATCTCTAGGGGCTGGGTGGATGCCCCTTGACCTTGGGCTTCATCTCTACCTTCCAGACCCACTGATGCAAGCTGGAGGCTTCTCCTGATGCATGTAGCTGCAGGGGCTGATGAACTCAAGATTGACAAGCAGTATAGCAGGGTGCTGGTTGCTGAGGCTGATGAATCTAAGGTTACCAGGCAAAATGGCAGCTTTTTGGCTCATGGGCTGCAAAGGCAACAATCCCAAGATCAGCAGGCAATACAGCAGGCCAGTGGTTCAAGTCCAATATTGGCAGACAACATCATCAGTTTAGGAACTGATGATGATGGTGGGTCAAATGTAGGATCTAAAATGAGCAAAAAGCTATAAACCTTTTCCAGAGCTTCTTGATATATACCAGAAGCAGGCCACACTCCAGGGACAACTCCCCTTCAACTAATTAGCTGCTCACAGCAGATTACATGCAACATGGAGTTGATTGTACTATGTCCAGTCTCATCATGGGGAATATCTACATCCACCTGCCAAGCCATTCAAAATCACGACCCAGCCAAGTTGATACAAAACTTTAACTGCCACAGTTATTTTTCTCTCTCCCCCTACTTCATTATTCAAGCAAAATCTAGCTTATCCTTCAAGGCTCAGCTAGGGTTCACCATCCCTATAAATCCTTCCATGATTTTCCTCTCTGGGTACACCTCTAACACTCGTGTTGATTCTTATTCTTTTCTAATAGCACCTGTAGAATTCACTTAATCCTAGTTTTGCTGTAAGGGCTGAAATGTTTCACTTAGACAAAAGATGAAAGTGATCATAGCCTGTCTGGAAGCATGTGACATCGGGCTCTCCCATTACATGTTCATTCTTGGCATGGCATTTACATGGGTTTCTGTTTACACTGTTTTGTGTTAAAAAGTGGTTTACAGGTGTTAACTTCCAGTTTGTGGAAACTTTCATAGCCTCTAAATAGCTGCAGAAATGGTGAGCCTTCATAATGGAGCTGCTGCATATATCCACTTGTTTTAAGAATTTAGAAAATTTTATTAGCCTAATACCAAAGTTTTTAGTTATCCACAGCATATATTACTTTCTATTATTAGAAATGTGGTTCAGTTTTACATTAAGTATAGTAGGAATGAATAGCTGCTTATAAAAGGTTAAGGGAAAGAATTTTGGAAGCATTACACTGAAATAGCAACAAATGAATATTTGCTATTTTAGATAAATCTTTTATCTCCATTGACTTTTCCAGGGTCAGGGACAATGTCTTAATCATCTTTGCATTCTTTTTTTTACTCCATGCCTGATGCAGTTGATAAACAAATAGCTATTCAGAAATAAATTCTCATATTCATAATTCCTCTTCTCTTTCTCTCTTTGTAATTATTCATTCTATATTTACAGAAGCCAGTGCTTTGTTTTGGAGATATTTTGGTTCTGGTTTTTTTTTGCATTGTAGAAATTTAAATATATGAACATTGCCATGTGATTATACAGTTAGAGTAGATACAGTATTTTAAAGGATTGTTGTGATAATCCACACAAAAACCAAAAACTCACTGCCACCAAGTTGGATCTGACTCATAGTGACTCCTCCTTGGGTTTCCGAGGCGGTATCACTTGGAAGGAGATTGCCCAACCTTCCCGAGGAGTGGGTGGTGGATTTGAACCGCCAACCTTCTAGTTAGCAGTCAAATGCCTTAGGCACTATACTACCAGAGCTCCCAAATCCATGCAAAGTATGTAATAAAGTGTCAGGAATTGTAGGAGCAATTCTTTTTGGAAGAAAGACTACTTCTCTCACACCCAAATTATTACCTCAGGCTGTGGTGGAGGAAGGAAGCTTTTATCCAGTAGAAGTGAGCTCTGGTGGCGTAGTGCCTAAGGCATTTGACTGCTAACCAGAAGGATGGAAGTTCAAACCCACCAGCCACTCCTCAGAAGGAAGATTGGGCAATCTACTTCCATAGTGATACTACCTTGAAAACTCAAGGGGTCACTATGAGTCTAATCAACTCTTCAGCAGTGAGTTTGGTGTTTTGGGTTGTTGTTGTTACCCAGTAGAATGGTATTCATTTACATTGTTGTTTTTAAATTGCTAAGTTAAATTTTTATGTCTTTTTTTTCCAGCCATCAAAAATAAGGATTAATTTAGAAGATAACGTACAATATGTTTCCATGAGAAGTAAGTTTATTTCTGAAAAGATTTTAAGTTTTGTAGTTTGAACTTTTATAAGATTGAAATGATTTATTCTAAATGTGCATGCATTGGTGAGAAACTTAAATGTGTTATTCCTACATTGAAATGTAAATGTTGGCATTTTAGCAGAAACTCCTGAGGTTATAGGCTGAATAATTTACACAAATGCTGGTTTATTCCCCATTGCTTTGGAAATAAGTCTCTTTAAAATAGAACAGTCTGTGATTTAAAGATATCTTCCTAAAATTCCTGTGCTATCAGCAGAATTGAATGGAATTTGGCAAGAAACATGAGAACAATATTTTGCTCTCCTGGTTCCTTTAGCTACCTTTACTCTTTCTTGGCCACTACCATGGATCAGTGTTTCGGGTGTCAGTTAAAGAAGACAGGGTATCAGTTGCTTTAGTTTCCTGTCCCTCTAGGAATCTTCAGTGAATTACCCCACCTCTAATATCCCTCTAGTGATCCTAATCTCAGTGGATACCAATACTATCTTTGCAGGTACCCAAACTACAAATTTTGATGCTACATATTAATTTTTCTAGTCTCACCCACAGTTGGTCACCAAGTTTAGTCAGCTTTACTTTTGAAGTGTTTCTTTCATCTCTCCTATCCTACTGACTTAAAATATCATCTGATTTTTGTTGAGCTCCTACAATTCCTGACACTTTATTACATACTTTGCATGGATTTGGGAGCTCTGGTAGTATAGTGCCTAAGGCATTTGACTGCTAACTAGAAGGTTGGCGGTTCAAATCCACCACCCACTCCTCGGGAAGGTTGGGCAATCTCCTTCCAAGTGATACCGCCTCGGAAACCCAAGGAGGAGTCACTATGAGTCAGATCCAACTTGGTGGCAGTGAGTTTTTGGTTTTTGTGTGGATTATCACAACAATCCTTTAAAATACTGATATGGATTAATACTTACATTTTATAAGGAGCCTTGGTGGCACAATGATTAAGCACTCAGCCACTATCCAAAAAGTTGGCAGTTCGTCCACCCACTGGTTCTGTTGAATAAAGACTTGGCAATCTGCTTCTGTGAAGAATATAACCTAGGAAGCCCAGCCCATTCTACTCTGTCACATGGGTTGCTGTGAGTTGAAAATTGACTTGACAGCCCTCAACAACAGTCCACACTGCCATCAAGTGTATTCACAGCTACTCTGTAGAACTGCCCCATAGGGTTTCTAAGGCTATAAATCTTTACAGAAGCAGACTGCCTCATCTTTCTCCTGCAGAGTGACTGGTGGATTTGAAGTGCCCGTTTTTTGATTAACAGCCAAATGCTTTAACCACTGCACCACCACAACAACAGTCTTCATATTTTATAGATGAGCGTGAGGGCAGAGAGTTTACATAACTTCCTTAAAGTTAGGATTCAGTTCAACTCTAGACCTCTCTTAGGCCCTCAGTCTCTTAACCACTGTGTTACACTGCTTCTTTTAATTAAAGTCCCCACTCTCCCAAATTGAAATAGTGGAATAGCCTCCTAAGTTGGTGATCAACTTTCAGGCTTTTCTCACCCTCTTCCATTTCTGTTGCCAATGCAATTCTCTCCCCCGCCCCCATTTTCATTATTTATTTATTTATTT